AAAAATGACTACGAAAATCGAGACACAAGTACAAATCAAGCAATGCACGTCAAGTTATTCAAACTAAGTACTTAGATGTTTCATGATCATATGTAAAGGTAAAACTCTCTTTATGTGGTAATGCGTCGTGACAAGCTTAAAGTTTTGATTTTATGACAAAAACATTTTTAACTTTACAAATGTGTTTTTCAAATAGTAAAAATCGTAACAAATATTTTAAATATGACAAATACCTTGAAAAACATTTTAAAACGTTCCACCAATACCAGCATTTGTTAAATATTAAAAAGAGGACGTTCCGGGCCAAAATTGGTCGTACCGGACGTCCTGTAAAACTGATTTTTGGCCAACGGTCAAATTTCTCGATAAAAAATAACGGTGAGTTGACCATCTGGTATTTTACTAGACGTCCGGTAAAGTGCATCCGGTACGACAGAGTTTTTGACCTTTTAAGTGTTATAAATACCTCACTATTCCTTCACTGGCATTAACAATTCTTGAGCATTAAAGTGGGGCTATTATTGATTACAACTACCTTATTTTTCATCTTAAAAAAGATCAAAAGCATCAAAACCCTTGAAAAACTTTTGAGTGATTTATCTTTGTGAAAATCTTTTGTTCTTCAAGAAATTTTTCATTTCAACACTTTGGGCTAAACTCATTACCATCTATTGAAGTGTTTTGCTTCTTCTCTTCTTGTTGTCAATCTTGATTCTATCATTCTATAAAAAAAGAAGATTTCACTTATAAATTCATTTTGAATTGTAGGTTGCGTTGAGATCCCAGAAAGCTCAACATTGTAAAAGATCGATGTTCCTTGATTGTAAGTCACCAGAAGCGTTATAAAGGATTAGATTGCACCACAAGCCAATCAACATAGTGAAAAAAGCCTTACTCGTGACGGAAAGCTTGGTAACGGGGGACATAGATCGTTGATTTGGATGTTTGCACTCTCTAACTCCCTACTTAACTCTCTATTTTGTGCAAGCATATATCATACCATCCACGTGGTTACTTTCGTTTAGTTTATTTCTGTATCATTTGTGTTATCATTTAGTAGTAATTAACGAAAAAATTTTAAAAATCAATTCACACCCTCTTAGGTAGTTTATCTTGGGTTTACATTTAGTTGGTTTAGGATTTAAGAATTATGCAGCAACATGTAATTCAGATATTAATCCTATTTTTTATTAGTTTAATATTAATCCTACTTCCATTTATTTGAGACTAGATCTACTGCTGCAACTCTTTCTTATCTAATTAATTCAGTGGTGCACGGCTCTTCCATTATTATTGCACCAAACAGGGGCTTAGTAGTTTAGTTTAGTATAAGTGTTTTTTTTTTTTTTCAAACCATAGTTATGATTAGGCTAAATTTTGGTGACTTAAATCCTAATGTAATTGTATAAACGATTCGAGGTTATCACTAGTAAGCCAATTCCTTTCTTTCCACAGCAGTGAACGTGTATGTGTTTAACTAGGAAATCATTATTTTCACAAAATCCAAATCCCACTAATTAAACTCAGAGCTTGTTTGGGAGGGATTTTAATCCAATTAAAATTAAAAAATATAGCCGTTATTGGGTCTCACTCGTCTAATAAAAGTCAACAATAACGGCTAGTTTTTCAATTTTAATCCGCTTTTAATCCCTCTCAAACAAACTCTCAATCTTATCCAAAACAACTTGTGGTACACGGCTTCTCTACTCCAATTGAACCAAAACTCAGCCCCTGTCTGGTCTGAAGTAAAATCACATTGAACCAAAACTCAGCCCCTCTTTAAGTCAAAGTCAAACAATCAATATGAATCACATCTTTCATGAATTCCATAACTTTTCCACCACACATTTCAAAATCTTCTATCATAATTTAATCCACAACAAACACCCTCTGAATATTGATTTCAACTATAAATATTACAGTCCCATTATTTCATCACAAAAATATATATACACATACGGTAGAAAGAAGTTTTTTAAAAATCAACAGCCAAGTTAGAAAAAGATTTGGACGTGCAATCATATTATTTTGTTTCAAAAATTCATTTGATCTATCGAGGTAAGATACGGTTTGTGCAAGTGGTATGTTTCCGTATACTTTTATGTTCAATAATTTATGCATGAATTGCCAATGGACCTTAGGGTTCGACCTAACGGAATGTGAACTCTTTTGAGTTTTTTATAATGAAATGTGAAATCTTTCGAGAATTCAAAATGAAAAATGATGGGTATCTCGCTTGGTCACCGGTATACTCCATAAAGAGAGATTGTCGTATGAATTGTCTATGTTATTGATAATTGCACATGGAAATTGCGAGATCTTACTAGATGTTTTTTTTTTTAAATACTAACTTTTACAAAATTTTACGGGCTAGTTCGAGTCGATTGGAACTGTGGTGGGAGAGTGCAGCGAACTGCCATGGGATGTCGTCATACGAAAATAATAAATTTTAATGCCTTTAAATTCATTAGTTTGTTTTGTTTAATAACGTTATTATCGAGTTTATTAGTTGAGAATGTTTAAGTTTTTTAAAAGACACTATTTATTAATTCAAATTTAAATTTATGGATGTTCTAATATTTTGTTATTAAAGAATTTTATCGTTATGCGAAAATTAGATTTTTGGTAACGCTCCATTGTTTGTGAAATTTTTGGAGTGTTACATTTTTAGTGGATTGCGATAGAAGTTTTTGAAATGTATGGTTGAAAAGATGTGAGACACATGAAAGATGTGATTAATATTGATTATTTGACTTTGACTCAAATTAAAATCAGATTTTAATCTGGCCAAAACTGAGCCTAAATAAAAGTTAATAATTTATTTTAACCACATATTTGATGAGATTCACAACTTTTCAACCATACATTTCATGAACGTTTATCAAAATTTATAAAAATCAAAATTTTAATCCCTACCTAACAAACAAAGCTTGGTTTCCTAATTAGATGATTGCATCATATGTCAATAACTTTTTTCAACTTTAAATCACAAATTCTCCACAAAATAATAATAATAATAATAAAATTCAATTTGCAGGAAGTCTAATTTTAAAAATCTACGTCAAACATACTGTTAAAATCAATGGACAAGCACAGATTGTACTGATAAAATAAATAGCACAGGAAGTGTGAAAATAAAATCAACCTGTACAACAATGGTTGAAGAATGGGAGAGACATCAAGAACACAGCTGTCGGAATGACCTAAAACTTTATGCCACTGCATTTTATTTATGAAATTGTATAACATTGCCAATAAAAAAGCAGGACTTTATTCTTCACATTTCATTGAACTAGTCAATAGCTAGAAAGAACTCCAGAATGAGACATTAGGCAGCAACACAACCACAATTATCACTTTCAAAGATTCTTTAAACTTTTATTTTTCGGAAAGAACTTCATTGCTACGCTTGTTCAACACAGTTTAGCTAGAAAAAAAGTTGGCTACTAGATAACATGTTCCACAACCAGACATTCTACAGATAGAAATATACCAAAAGCACACTGATCTCAACCTGTGTTTATTTGTTGATGTTTCCGAGATGTAGTAAACTTCAGGCACAATTGGGCATCCATTACAGCAGATGCCAGCCCACCAGATGCATTTGTAGGAAGCGAGCTAGCCAGGAAAGTACAATCTTCATATGCCGACTGGGCTAATCATCTCTAGCCTCATTGTTGACTGCTTCACTGAACGAGGCAGCCAGGTATTCAGCAAGGCTTGGCTCAGAAGTTGATTTATTCGAAACTTCTGATGAAACTCTAGGTTTTTTAATGCTAACAGATTTCGGAAGGGGTGATATCTCAGAATTTGGATTAACATATTGACCCTTCCAGATAACAGGGTTCAACTCCTTCCAAGGGTCTTCAACCATTTCATGGTTGTAATACATATCAGGTCTTAGCTCTGCTGAGACAGGACTATGCGAACTCACTCCTCTCCTTCCTCTCTGTCCTGAACCAGGACTCATGCTGTTATTACCTGCTGATCTACCCCTGCTTCTTCCTGAATCAGGATATGGACTCACTCCACATCCTGAACCATACAAGGGACTGCTGTTGTATCTTTGACCTCTGCCCCGACCATAACCAAACTTAGGAGTACCTCCTTGTCCAAAGCCAGGTCTCGTAAAGTTACTGCCTCTTGGTAAATTAGATGAATTGCTATAATTAAAATCACCAATTGGTGCACCCCATGTGCTCTGAGGATTTCTACCTGAAGGACTGGATGATATGCTCCCAACAGGACCATAGTTGTAATAAGCTGCGGGTGCTTGGAATATTTTCTGACCAGGAGAGTTTATAGATTGATCTTGATAAGCTGGAGAGTGAGACATATCTGGATGCCCTGGTCCTGTTAAAATGCGAAAATTTCAGGTCTTCATAAAATATAATATGCCCAAATAGGTTTTGGAAGAACAATAGTTGAGCTGTAAGCTTTCTAGAAGAAAAAATGTTAATCATTTCAGAGATTAATGTGCATGTGTTGCAGGCAGAGTCATGGTAACATTCTAAGTGAAAGTTTTATTAGTGAACCAGACATTACGAAGTTTTATGTAAAATATCTTCTCAAAGGACAAAGAGAATTAATGGCCTTGGCAATTGCTTGCATTTTCTCTGTTGTACGAGTGTTAGCCACTCAGAATCTATGTTCTGTGAATCAAATAGTCATTGTGAAATTTTGCCTAGCACATATTGAAGCAGGCTACATTTTAATGACAGGAAAAGACATTGATTACAATACAAACAACAGAAATACAAGAGAAGAATAATAAATTGGTTACTTGGAGGGGTATTGTAATATTGTTGTGGAACCTGATGAGAGACCTGGCTACCCTTCTTGTTTGAAGAGAATGCTGCCATAGGATTCGTGTAATAATCGAATCTCGAAGAAGCATAATTAGCTGGGCTTTCCGTTTCGCCTTCAATCAAAGGATTGGAAAGGTCATGACTGACCATTCCCGAACTCTCAGGAATGCCATCGTTCCCTCCTCGATTCGCTTCCATTCGCATTGCTTTCAGCCTTTCCCTTCTTTTCTCAGATTCCTCCATTTTTCTTAATTATTTATAAAAGAAAAATCATTTAGATTCTTTCTGCAAGATGCAGGTCATATATAAATGGAAGGGGAAGGGAAACCAACTTTTTTATTAATTAATATGGGCACAAGAACAACTTGTGAATAATACTCAGAAAATTGATACGCATAAACATACCTACATACATGAAATAGAGCAAATAAGGGTTAGAAAAAAAGGACAAATTACTGCTAAAATTTGAGGAGTTAGCAGTATCTATTCTCCGGAATATTAAAAGACAAACTTATTCAGTGCTACAACTAGTGTACAATTAGATAAATCCTACATGTGATTAATAAAATAGCTCAAAAATATTTATTTTTATTAAATAATTGTGTACAAATAGCATTAATTTGATAATTTTTCTTATTCATATTCTAAATGGAAAATAAATTTGGCCCAAATTGTCCCTAATCTATGGGATTGTTATGCAAATAATCCCTCAAATGTTAGCACAAATGTTCTTAACATTTTACTTAGCCCCTGTTTTGTTCCAATAAAAAAAGTGGATTAAAATCCAATTCAAAGTCAATACATAATTTTAGCCACACATTTTATAGGACTCACAACTTTTCAACCATACATTCCATCAACTTTTATCAAAATCCATTAAAAATCTTATTTTTCTCTAAACCAAACATGAGCTCAATGTGTGTAATTGGTCATTTTGGATAGTTTATCTCCAACTGACTATTAAAAAAGACGATTATATACCGCCACAATTTTTATTTGATAATTAAGCTCATCAATCTTCACTAATTGTAGTAATTATTTCCTTAACTTTTTTTCATCAACAGTGGCGGGCGCAGACATTTAGAGTTAGGTAGACACAATCAAACTTGCAAAAAAGTAGTAAAAAACTTTAAGCATTCGATATATTATTACAATTATTCTCTACACATTCTCATACTTTGATAACGTTCTATAACTACATCATTTTTTTCAAATACAAAATTGCAGAGCAACCTGAAAAATGAATTAGAAGAGCAGCTGAAAAGCAAAACCGAGGACTTTGTTCAGTTGCAACTGGAAACAGAAAGTCCGCAACTTAAAACTTCAGAGATGGAGAGAGAATTAAAGGAGAAAGAGGATGAACTCTCTACTGTACGAAAGCAATCCAAAGATAGAAAGAGTGAAGCATCTGCTCAAATCATGGCTTTGACTGCAAAAATAAGAAATTTCCAAGGGCAATTGGGTCTTTTGAAAGCAAGCAAAAGTGAAGGAGATTCCATTCTGGGAGATCTATGTATTTGGCCTGGTCAATTATGTTTTTTAAGCTATCTATCAAAAAGTCTAAGTTACTCTTAATGAAATGAATCCTTATAAGTTGCAAAAGATATCTTCACGTTTTAAAATGGTTCTAAAACTAGTTTTATCTTATATTTCTTCTACTTTGAATTTCAATATATAAATCCATTCTATGATCTAATAAATTAGAATAGTCTGTAGCATATTGTTCATATTTTTCTTTGAGTCTATTATATTCTTCAGATAATATATTTATATTTTCCAGTTGAGAAGTAATATTTCTTATTTCTTCTAACAATCTTTCTAATAGATTATCTAATCCTTTAATCGTATATCCTAACATATTAAGAGTCTGCGTTGTACTGATTTCTTCCTCCAAAAAATTGCTTTTTGGACCTTTTTTCAACCACGTGGGTTCCATTGTGAGACAAATTCAAATTTTGCGGCTTGACTCTCTCATAACGGCTGGAAAATTGCTTTTAATCAGGTGGAAAATCAATACCAGGCAGGCTCTAAATATCAAAGTATTAATAATGATGCAAATATCATGATAAATAATCCTTGCGATTCTCTAAGATCTTAGGAGAATACTTTCTAGATTTAGCAAAAATTAATAGTTTTACCTTAGTTTTGATCTAGATCTTTATTCTTAGAACCGAGTGACCTTCGAGCTTTGAATATGCAAACCACTCCCTTCAACGGCCTCTTGCCTACACGGGATCTTTACTGTTTCAGCTTCTTGCTCTCACTGTATCTTTTCTAAAAAATATATCTCTAAACTTTGATTAAAGAAAAACTTTCTTTATTGCTAAAGTAAGAAATAAATTTCATATTAGATCTTTTAAGAATCTATGGGAAAAGGAATTTAGAAATTCATATTTTTATAAAAGAATTGGAATATTATTGATCTATTGAAGATTGATACAAGATTGAAAAACAGAAGAGTTTGGCTATCTCCCAAACTGAGTGCTCAATTCATTCTTTTTTTTCTTCTAGCCCGAATGCCTCTATTTATACATCTACTTGAGGCTCAATTATTAAGCCTCTTTCATTCTTTCATCCCAGTGAAAGGGTCAATAATTAACCCTTTTTATGTCACTGCTTACATCACAGATCTATTATTATAGACAGCTATCTTCTTTATATCACATCTTCTTTTATGTCATTACTTAAATCATAGCTCTATTATTGTAGACGGTCATCTTCTTTATCTCCACATCTTCTTCTTTATTATTGTCGACGAGTAGGGCATTCCCTTAGTCGACAAGCTTCCCATATTGTGGATGGACTTCCATTGATTTGATGAGTATCAAATTTTTCAATGTATTCTTTTAAAATTGTTGATTTTTCTCTTCCATTATAGGTCAAGAGGGTCCATCCTTCATATTGGCACAAGCATTTGAACTTTTTATCATATAAGTTTTTGGCAATATTATACAAAACTTTCATTCCCAAAACTCTTTGGGATTTTACCCATGACTTTGTAATTCTTGGTAATGTTTTATTGTTACGACCGACTTCAATCTGGAAATCTCTTCCAACATATTCTATGGTGATCATATGTTCTGCAGGATATAACATCCTTCCATCAACTTCTGGATTGATTGAGTAAAATTTTATATATATTGACCTTCCTTGGGCAAATTTGGAAACTTCAGATTTAAATATATCATCAAAATTTTCAATTTATTTTAGATCTTTTCCTAGATATATAAGATCTAAAAATCCATAATCTGCTACCATTTTAACCATCAAGGGGTCTGCATTTTTTGCAGTAACATAAAAGAAGATGTGATATAAAGAAGATGGATGTCTACAATAATAGAGTTGTGATGTAAGCAGCGACATAAAAATGGTTAATTATTGACCATTTCACTGAGATGAAAGAATGAAAGAGATTTAATAATTGAGCATCAGATAGATGTATAAATAGAGACATTCGGGCTAGAAGAAAAAACAGAATGCATTGAGCACTCAGTTTGTGAGATAGCCAAACTCTTCTATTTTTCAATCTTGTATTAATCTTCAATAGATCAATAATATTCCAATTCTTTTATAAAAACATGAATTTCTAAATTCCTTTTCCCATAGATTCTTAAAAGATCTAATATGAAATTGTTTTCTTACTTTAGCAATAAAGAGAGTTTTTCTTTAATCAAAGTCTAGAGATTTATTCTTTAGAAAAGATACAGTGAGAGCAAGAAGATGAAACAGCAAAGATCCAGTGTAGGCAAGAGGCCGCTGAAGGGAGTGGTTTGCATATTCAGAACTCAAAGGTCACTCGATTCTAAGAATAAAGATTCAGATCGAAAATAAGGTAAAACTATTAATTTTTGCTAAATCTAAAAAGTATTCTCCTAAGATCTTAGAGAATCGCAGGGATTCTTTATCATGATATTTGCATCATTATTAATACTTTGATATTTAATATGTCAAGATATACGATTAAAGGATTAGATAATCTATTAGAAAGACTGTTAGAAGAAATAAGAAATATTACTTCTCAACTAGAAAATATAAATATATTATCTGAAGAATATAATAGACTCAAAGAAAAATATGAACAATATGTTATAGACTATTCTAATTTATTAGATCATAGAATGGATTTATAAATTGAAATTCAAAGTAGAAGAAATATAAGATAAAACTAGTTTTAGAACCATTTTAAAAAGTGAAGATATCTTTTGCAATTTATAAGGATTCATTTCATTAAAGGTAACATAGACTTTTTGATGGATAACTTAAAAAGCATAATTGACCAGGCCAAATACATAAATCTCCCCCTATTCAGATAGAAAGGCTAAAAGAGGAATTATCAAGCAAAACTATTGATGGACAGAGAATGCTGGAAGAAAAGAAGGGCCTGGAAAGAAATATTTCTGAATTGGAGAAAACGCTGAAAGAGAGAGTCGATGAAGTAATTTCTGTCAGAAAAAAATGGAGGATCTGCGAAATGAAGCGTCCACTGAAATTACTGCATTCACAAAACAGGCTAACCATTTGCATCAGCAAATAGACTCACTACAGTCAGATAAAAGCCAGTTGGATGAGCTAACAGAAAGAGGTAAACAAGAGTCTATGGAAGTGCTCCAAATTTTTTTTTTTTTATAACCGTGGATGTCCGGGCAGCTTGCGCGCACCTCGACTAATTCCACGGCCCTGAAATTTACGGTCGGTGCTCACCTCAGTGGCCCGAGGGATTCGAACCGGTTACCATTAGGGAACAAATCCAGAACCTGACCAATTGAGCAGATTAGAAGTGCTACAAAATTAAGCATAAAGATTTCACAATTGCCTAATAATGCTACACCTATTTTGGATTTTGGATGAAGTTCTAAAATATGGTTCACAAATCACAATTCATCCATACCACTCACAAATCAGAAATAAGTATAACAAATATATTTCGAAATTGAAATTCCAGAATCAGATATTGATTGAACTTTAGGCAAAGCAAAGTAAAGCAAAACAGACCTCTGGCTTTGTACGGACTGGTCTGGCGGTGGCCGCGCGGCGGACTGGCGGCAGGAGCGGACCCGGCTGAATCGAACAAGGTTGAATCGCAGGCAGCGGAAACGCAGGCTGGAGGGCTTTTTGCAGAATGGTTTTTCAAATTCCAAAGGTTCTTCAAATGGAGGACTTTGCAGAAGGCCTAAGGGGAAAACGGGAGTCCTTCCTGTACAATCAAGCCCACGATAAAAATCAAGCTAAAAAGTTAAAATAGAGACCTAATTGGATAGATGAAAAAGCAAAATTTACGAGAACAAGAGGAATTGCAACGCGCTGGATTGGAGTGGGCTTTTCCTTTTCTACGGATTTTTTTTTTGTGCAGTAATGGCACAATGACGATTCCCAATCTGCTGACTGGTTTATTATTTGGAGGCTTTGATAAGGTGCGTGTTGACTGTTCTGTTTGATTTGCTTTAGTTTTCTTGAAACTTGGAATTTCAATTTCTTTACCAGCCAAATGAGGCGTTCGATGTGTAAAATTCTACTAAATGAGGTGTTTGATGTGTAAAATTTTGCTGGCAAAACATTTTGGGAATGTTTGTTTTTTATTCTCAAATTTTACAGTAAATCAATTCTCATTTTCAACCACACATTCTTCAATAAAATAATATTTTCCATCACATCAATAATTTTTTCTTCTTTTTCAACCACACATTTCCCATCATATCACTATTCAAAAATCAATT